AGCCCGACTCGGCTTCGTTGGAGGCGGGTGTGGTTGCAGGCACCTTGGAACCAACAAATGTGCCCTTTGTCAGGCAAGCTCAAGTGACATGGAGATGAACAAACCCTCACCGCCCCCACGTTTGAAGAGGGCTTGGGCATTGAAGCTGGACACAACACCTGAGGGGAAGGCGGGTCTCATCCTTTTACATTTCTTGGCTCATCCCAAAAGAAAACAATCTGAAAGGTTTGCCCAACATTGCCCATTTCCGCAGGCCTACCTGGACACGCAGCTTGACACGTCAGAGGCGCTGGAAGTGCTGCCTCGGCTGGCGTGGTGTGGGAGTTGCGTTGAACCCTGGGTTGTCTCTCCAAGCATGATACCAAGAACAAAATGCAGTTTTTCAAAGCATGGCAACCTTCGCATGACTGGCCCTCATTTGTCTTCCCCTAGCTCCAAATACCATTGGATGATTATTGTTAGGGGTAACCTCCTCCTTCTTAGTCAGGGGTCAACATGAAACTTTTAAACCATTGGTATATGGACTAGGGGATCTTTTGCTGCCCTAAGCAGCCCTTCTCAAACAGGGGAATTGAATACTGAACTTCTCCCTTGTTTCTCAAAATGTGTATTGTTTTGAGGGAACCACGCGTTTCAATGGCGGTCGCCTTTGGGTTTTCCTGCAAACCACCCCTTTTTAGGGTCGCATCATGGGTTTTCCTGTAAACCACCCCTTTTTAGGGTCGCCTCAAAAAAGAAAAAGGACACCCAAACGGTACCGCAAGATACTATCAGTTCCGGAAGAGATTCATATTACACCAGGTGGCGACAGGAAATGAAGATGTCCATCATCCCGCGGAGCTTCAGGACCCTTTCAGTGTGGGTGTGTTGTTTTGCTTAAGGGAAGGGGTCCAAGGGAATGACAATTGTTTGGTTAAGGGACACATACCTGTTACAGCCAGGGCAAGCCTGCTACGTGCTCGGTATGCTTAGTCCAAAATTCGATAGCGCACTCGCAAACAGGACGGCAACCATCACGCTTCCTTTTCACCACGCAGCTCGCAAGACACCTATGTTTTTGACAGCGATTGGATTGCCAACAGGGTGCAAGACAAGCAGAAGAGAGAGGACCTATTTTCCTGTGCTTCTGCGCTACGTTGCTATTTAACACGTGGATTGTTTACTGACAGGAAGCATCGCAGCGGTTTGCCGAAGTTGCAGCAAAGGACCCTATGAATCTTTCCTGACCCCTTTTTTTTGAGCTTGTCCAGGAGCCCGGCAAGTCCAAAGAGCTCTTGGCGTCTAAGCCATTGCACCAGGACCTGGGACACAACCATTTCACCAAAAGCTTCGTCATTGCCCTTTTTTGGACTTGGGCGTTGACTTGGAGGATTTGGAGGACTTGAAGGAGTTTTGTCCTGTTCTTTGTGTCTGCCAATTGCAGGAATGCGTGACGATGGCACCAGTTGGCTTTGCGGACGTTATCATCCCTTCACCATATTACGAGGCTGAGCCGACAACTAGGTGCTTTTCACCGGTGTTGCATAAACCAGTGGTTTGCGCATCTTGGTTTCTGGAGGACTCCCATTGTCCACCGGAGCTTGTGGAGGTCAACATGGATCTCAAGCCACATGTGACCAACACTCAGGACCGGAAAGCTCTCCTGCCAATTCCTCTATGTTGTCTTTTGCCCGCCAGGAACATATGATGGTGGAACCCATCACCAACGCTCAGGACCGGAAGTTCCCCTGCCAGTTGCTCTACGCTTTTTTTTGCCCGCTAGGAACAGGAACCTGTGATTGTGGATCGCATCACCAACGCTCAGGACCGCAACTGCCAGTTGCTCTATGTTGTTTCTTGTCCGCCAGAGGGACAGGTACTTGTGATTGTGAACCCCGAACAGGAACCTGTGATTTTGGACCCCATCACCAACGCTCAGGACTGCAACTGCCAGTTGCTCTATGTAGTTTCTTGTCGGCCAGAGGGACAGGTACTTTTTGTGAACCCCAAACAGGAACCTGTGATTTTGGGCCCCATCACCAACGCTCAGGACCGGAACTGCCAGTTGCTCTGTGTTGTTTCTTGTCGGCCAGAGGGACAGGTACTTTTTGAACCCCGAACAGGAACCTGTGATTTTGGACCCCGTCACCAACGCTCAGGACCGGAAGTTGTTTCTTGTCGGCCAGAGGGACAGGCACTTATTGTGAACCCCGAACAGGAACCTGTGATTTTGGACCCCATCACCAACGCTCAGGACTGAAAGTTCTCTTGTCAGTTGCGCTATGTTGTTGTTTTGCCCGCCAGGCAGAACCTGCAGAACCCAAGGTTGTGGATGCTTCTGAGTCGACAGTTCCAAAAGCGAAATGCGCATCAAAAGCTCGGGCAAAGCCCAAGAAATCGGAGGTGTCCAAATGTGCGAAGAGCGCACCCAAACCAAAAGAGGCACCCAAGCCGAAAGGTAAGGGGAAGCCACAACCTAAGCCAAAGGCGAAGGTGGTCAAGGAGGATAATTACAACAGAGTGTATTCGCGAGTTTATCGCAGGATGCTTGCTGGCGGTAGCACCAAGGAGGATGCTGCCGCTGAAGCCCGTTCCCAGGCTGACCCTTGGTCCAAGGCCCGGGCCAAGGCCAAGGCGTAGGCGTGGAGTGGCCACTCGGAGCCAAAGGATTGGGGAAAAACCACAGCGCATGCGCAGCCCTTGACAGGCAGGCGGTGGCGGATTAGATGTTGGTGGCTGAACAGTGCCCATTGAAAACATCACACAGGGAAGTTCCAATTGTTTATGGGGGAAGTTCTGGTTGGAGCGGGTGCCTCTTCCTGGTAACACTGAATTTGTACGAAAAACGCATCAACAAGCTGTAATTCCAGTGTTTTTGTACGACCAAAACCCAAAAAGTTCAACACCGAAAAAGAGAGAGAGAGAGAGAGAGAGAGAGAGAGAGAGATCAACAAAAAAACTTAAGGTTCGGAGTTCGTTCGGAGCTCGTCCGGGGCAAGAATTAAGCCCCGAAAATAATAATAAGCAAAAATTACAGCCTGGAAAAAACACAAGCACAAAACAAAGCCGAAAAACTGAAACTTAAGGCCGAACCACAAAAATCAGCTCCCCCAAAGAAAAATATGGCCAAAGTTTGTTTGGCACTTGTCCGGGAAGTAAATCCAGCCCGAAACATACATAACAGGAAAATCAAGTGTCCAAAAGGACTAATTTCAACAAGTGGCCTGAGAACATGTTTGTTTGCCTCAAAGAACACCTTCCCAGGCCACTTGTTGAAACTGGCCCCTGTAATCACTTGGCCTCTTTTGGTAAGCCCGAAAAAATCCCCCAAAAAAGCTTGACCACCAAAATACCTAGGCTCAAAAACATGCTTATGGCCAAAGTGTGTTCGGAGTTGGCTCGGGAACAATGCCAAAGTGCGCTCGGAGCTTGTTCGCTTGTTCGGAGTTTGTTCCGAGTTCGCCCGGAGTTCGTTCGGAGATTGTTCGGGGTTTGACCGGAGTTTGTTCGGAGTTCGTTCGGAGTTCGTTCCGTTCGGAGCTTGTTCGGAGTTGGTTCACGGGGAACCTGGGGCCTCCGAGAAACGCCTACTAAGGAAAAAAAAACACGTCCTGCTCCGCATTATGTAGTGTGTGGCCAAAACCCTAAAAAAATGTGCCCATGCAGGATTTGTTGCAGATCACTGCTTTCTTTGTGAAAACTCGCAATTGCCGCAAGCGCAACCCCAATCTGCCAAAATACGAGCAGAATTTGGGCTCCAACACAACGCATTTGCTCGTACAGAAGAGGCGGTTTCAAAGTTAAGTTTTTTCCGGAAAACAGTTCAAGCCCTTTCCTCTTGGCGGCCAAGACTCATTCCTGCTTAGATGACCCCAAACCCCTTTCAGCACGCGCATCAAGCTGCCTTACCCTTATAAGGTGTTTTTTGGAGTTGAACCGAATTCCCCACGCAAATTGGCAGTGAATGATGTGAATTGCCCAGCTTTATGGAGCTCCCTTGTGGGGTGGCCTTGATCTTTGCCCATGTAGATTCAAAGGTACTGGAATTCAAATTCCCGGTGTTGTGCCCAATGTCTCGGACATGGCCGAACTCGAGTTTTGCACAACGAGGAGGCCGACCAGTCCCTGTTACAAGCTTTCTCCTGGCTTTTTGGACAGCTCCCAAAGGCTGGACGGACCTTTGGGAGGGCCACCAGCTTCTGCCTCCAACCCTGGGACTTCCCTTGCCACCTTAAGAGTCGAAGCCGAACGCAGCATGCGCACTAGACTTGACCGAGTCCAAGTGGCTTGTGAAGCATTGGTCTGGCTCCGTTGCTTTCGAATGCCTTGAGGATATGCGTGGGGAGGGCTAGTCTTTCGCTCGGGCGAGTGGCTTAGTTTGTTTGATATAGAGCGCCAGGGTTGGGTAGCATTTGTTCAGAGCGACGCGAGATCCTGTTTGCCGTTGAAGGGAAGCCAACAAGTGGCTGTTTCCACACTATATCTGGGAGGCCCGTCTGAACCTTGCCACCGCCGAGGGGTCTCTGACTGAGTTTCACAGAGTTTAATGTGCGCTCTTTGCTAAACATACCCTTCTGCCAACAATCATTAAAGGGAAACGGAGGGTGTTGGAAGATTACTGTCCTCTTGAAGCGCCCCGCACGCTTCCATGCGCGTTGGAGTCACATGGGGCTTGCTCAAAATAGGGGGACCCCTGTCTAGTTTGTATTTGAAGGGAAACCAGCAGGATACTAACCGTTTTAGGGGACCACGATGTTGAAACAGCCCGCATGCGACACATCTTCGAACCACCCTACTATGAGGAGACTCACTTCGTGAGTGCAACTTAGTTTGCTCATCTGAGACTGTAGATTTTCTCAAAATCCGCCTTGCACCAGCTGGATGAAACGCTGGGATAACCCCCAAAATCCACCAGGAGTTGTCTTGTCAGGGAATGTCGGAACCCAAAACCGAACCATCCAATTTGTGGTTTCCTTAAGATTCGCATTTGGCGCAAGCCGGCAAGACCATGGGCGTGCCAGGTCGAGTCACCCGGGGATTCGAGCAGCGATTCGAGTGCGCGGCTTTGGGATGCCGTGGCTGAGGCGGGAACCTGTAGCGGGGGCCGGGGGCCGTGTGGTGGGGCGGGGGTGCTTAGTTGGGACTTAGGGCAGAATGGTTACCGGGTACTTGAACACTTCACTAAATGCGGTGGTTTGCTTGAATCCCCATCAAGGAAACCGCAGGGGATGGATAGTGTTTGTACTTTCTCTCTGGTCGGGTGAAAATACCACTACAAAACTGCTGGTTTTTAGTCCTTGATTCCATTTACCCGGGCAACCCATTTTGGAGTTACCCTATTTTTGAGCCACAAGGACAAACACTTGCTGGTGCTCCGGGAATGACCGTTCCGGGTGTTGCATAAACCACAGGGGGAGTCCGGGATTGTTTCCATCATTCCATTTCTCATTCCCTGAACCAGCAAGTACATTTTCCTTCCAATCCCCGATTCCCGATTGATTCTAGGGGTCATTCCACTTCTCCTTCCCTGCCCATCTTGCCGGTGCTCAGCACGGAATGTGGGGGCTGAACCCAGGGATTCCCTTAAGGAACCACCAGTTGGATGGTGTATAGAGGTCATTCCATTTCTCATTCCCGGCCTATCGCACCAGCAAGCGGTGTGGATGGACGAAATCCTGCACCACTTGGAAATCATGGGAAACCAGGGCTGGTTGGTATTTACAGGGGAATCGAATCATTCCAGGGCTCCTTAGGTGCGAAATGGGTTTCGTCCATCCACACTGAACCAAACACGAGACTGGCTTCCCTTGGCGCCGGGAGGCCTCTTTGGAGTTTTCCTGCGGATCCTTGCTGGACACCGCGCCGGAGCGCCTGCAGGGCGCCACAGCGGTGGTGCTGGAGGCGCGAGAGACGAGGTGAACTGCTGGGGTTTTTCGGGGGATTTGTTGGTGGTTTTGTTTGGGTAATTACCTTTATTTTTGTGGATTTCTTGTTTTTTTTTGGTGGAGTTGTTGTTTCTAGGGCACCTGGACCCTCAGACTGCCCATGACAAAGCAATACTGCCAGGGAATATGCAGTTCAACCATGTTTATGGGTAGTTTGAGGGTTCAGGTACCTGTTTCACCTTGGCTTTAAGGTTTTTGAGGGGATGTCCTTCAAGATCAAGCGCCGAAAATGGCGAGAGCTGCCCACTGCCAAGCTGTTGACCCTTCGATTTTTACACGGGCGGTAGTTTAGCATGGCTTTCCTAGATGCGAATTTCTTGTGCAGTGGTACCCGGGCACTTGTTTTGTTTGTTAAAATGAGGGGTGGCATGTGGAGTCAACTTGCTCCTTCAAATCCACGCTGTTCCACTTTGTTGGTGGGGGTTACAACAAATCAAATTGCATTTGTTCCAGGTATCAACAGGAGGCACATCGCTTCAGTATTCCTGGCATGTTGTTTGTTTTGAAATGCGGTAGTGTGCTGTTTGTTTTGTTTTATGATGCGTGCGGCGTGTGGATGACGGTGTGTGAGTGTGTGAGTGTGTGTGTGTGTGTGTGTGTGCATTTTTTTTTTTGGTTTTGTATGGCGGTTCCTGTTCATTTGTAGTAGAGGGCTGCAACTAACAAAGTGTGTTGCCGACACACGAAGACTTGGACAAACATTGAGGCCCGTATCATACTAGGCACTGTCCGCGCAGATAAAACGGAGGCCAACAAGGGAGTGCCCAAGAGAAGGCGCCTCCCAAAAGGATGGTTCGCTTGGGTCTAGGGGTTATTATTTCCCCAAAATCTTGCTTTCCACACTACTAAGAAAGCCAAGGGGCAACTGGTTGGACAGAATGGAACAGAGCCGATTGCAAAGAGTTTGGAATCAGTACTGTGGTTACTGTGGATATTTCGTGGGGTTTCAGAACAGTCTTTCTTGGGCCAAACCACTTCCGCAAAGCAGCGGAAGCCATCTACGGATTTCCGTTTTTGTTTTTTTTAGATCGATGTCGAAGCTTTTCCAAATACCTCGTTTCTCAGTCAGGTGAAAGTTGGAACTTGGAAGGTGCATGCAGTTCCCAAGGTTTGCCTACCCCTGGAGCTGCAAAAAGCGGCCTGCAGCTCGGCATGGACATGGGCCTGGGCCCTTCTTTTCAGACACCCCGAGTGGTCGAAAGCCAACCATGTATCTTGTTGGATTTTCCTTTTTGGATCCATGTTTAGCCGATGCACAAATGAATAGGATCGGGATTCCTCAAAGAATTGTGACCAGTATAAGCTTTCAGCTGGTCGATGGCAATGTGAACAGCCCATGAGTGTCCGGTTTCATCCCTCTTACTGACAGAAAGAGAATTGTGCCACCTTCTTTCACCCTGGTGTAATCTTTTGGAGTTTTCTTTTTGGTCTGTGTTTTGTCCAAACCGAAGAGCTAATCTTTCATTTCCAGTTCCTCTGGGCAGGTGACAACCACTACTCCCAGATCAGACTAGCCTACAGGACTACGACTTTTCGGAGAACCATTAAAACATGGGATGGCGCAGATAAACCTCCAGGCAATCGATGTGCACAAATCGCCAGTGCAGTTGACACCCTTACGACTAGCCATCCAGGCTGTGGTATAACCTGCTTGCTCCTGGGGAGTAGGACCCTTGTTCAATCGGGTTTGCGAAAGTTGAAGGCTTGAAGCGACATGACATTCATGCTGCGACCTGCGCCGCATTTGTGCCCTTCTGAACCCCACTTGCATTTTGCCACATGTCTTTTGCGAGCTGGCCTGGTAGCAAGAGTGGACTCGTGAAAGTCAGGTAGTCAGGTACTTGGATCCTTATTGCAGCCTCGGAGAAATGATTGATGGGCACAGTTTGTTGTTCACATCACTTGCTGAACATAGATGGCACAGGTTTCAGATTGGTTCCATCCGCTTTTCTGAGCCATTTCAACAAGCCACTGCGAGCCGCCGCGAGCGCGGTCGGCCGAAGCCGAATCTTCGGCGGGGCCAGTCTGAGTCGAAGGGTGTACGCTTCCTTCCATTTGCTCAATACTATGATTGATCTTCCCCTGTTGGTGTTACAGACAATCGATCACTGCGGGAAGTGTGGCGCTTTGTTTCCAGCGGACTTAAGCAAATGGAGGACCCCCCCCTTCCCTACCGTTAGTTTCAAGAAGACACATGCGTTCCGCTCATGTTTTTTTTTGGCTGTGTCAAAGGACTGACCCGACGGCCCCGTTGTGTGGTGAATTCCGTGAACATAGTGCCAGACTGAGCTTCCCTTAGATAAGATAGGTGGATAGATAGATCGATAAGATAGACAAGATGAGACGGGATGAGATAATATGAGATCAGACAAGACAGGACAAGCAGTAGGTCAACAGGCAGGTAAATGGATAGGCAGAGAGACATACACTGAGAGACATGCAAAGGTAGCTTTGTGCAACAAATTCTGAATTCGTCGTCAAGTTTTGGGTTTGCAAGCCTGTTGAGAGCTCAGTAGGCTCGCTCTTCCGTGATTTCCCACTTAAGATGGGATCAACTCCCACAAAGTTCCACTTTTCCGCAGATGCCTCTCGTTTTGAGGGTAAATCCATGCGGGACCTTCCTAAATGGGATTGTTGATTGCTTGCTACATCGTCCAGGCTTGCTGCATTTAAGTCTTCTAAAGGGTAGTTGTTGTCATAATATAACGAATCGTTTAACCTAGTTTTACGATGGGTACTCGTGAAGGTATCTCCAACAGCCTGACAGCCCCAGAACTGGCACTCTCTGGAAGCCTTCCTGAGAGCCCAGAGCTTGGCCAGAGGGATCCAAATTTCAGCTGTTTCCAGAGGGTACCTCCTGGGTACTTAGACCCTCGCGCATTTTTCAAAGCTACCAAGCCCGGGGTTGGGTTGAATACGCGGCACCGTGTCGTGTCCGAGGCCAGCTGCTGCAAGCGTTGCCCGTGGGCTGCCCAGTGGTCAGCTACTCCGCGCTGGGCGGCCTCGTGCCGCAGTGCCGGCTACGGCCACGGCACGGAGGCGCAGCACTCGTTGGCTGCGCGGACTCGGCGCTTCGACTGGTTGGAAGGCCCGTGACCCTCAAACCCGAAGAAGCAATAAGCCCAACTGATATCCCCATAGAATCGGGCAATAGTTGTTTTGTTGTTTTACTATTTCCCCGACCTCGCATCCCCAACAATCCAACCAAAATTAGGGTTTGATGGTGACTCAGCGGAGTTATCAACCGGAATTCATAGGGTTTCATGCATTCCAACTGGTGCGATGCGGAGTCCTACCCCATTGGGGTTGAGGAGCCACAATTTTGGGGTGTCTCCCAAGAATGGACAGACCCAAATGACATGGAGCACGCACAAACCAGCTGTTGCACAAATGCTGCTTGGGAAATTAACACGAAAAGGAACAGGATTCCTTCCATTTTGCGGGGGCATCCGCGATTTTCACGTTTGTTGCTTTTCCACATAGTATATAGGTATAGCCATGGTTCTCAGAAACCGAAGAAAGTCAGAGTGTCCCCTGCTACCTTCTGAGGATGACTTGTGGGGTGCAGAAAGGGACCTTAGAACGTCCGCCTCGGGACCGGTTTTTGACCTTGAAAGTTTGCGCAGTGCTTCCAGTGGCCACTATAGCAAGTAAGGTGAAAATATATCTCTAGGTTTTACCATGGATGGTGCAATCTCTGGTTAGCTACAGTGGCGAACCACCTAGAAGCACAGGGTTGTTTCAAGGGAAAAGGGAAGACTGGCATTCAATCCCAGAGGGTTTCTTGGTACCTCCTCATAGCTTTGGTGTTAGGTGGTGTTTGGTACCTCCCATTCGCAGGTACCAAGAGACCCTCGAAAAACCCAGGCAAAAACAACAACGAGTTTTGGCATGTATCAAACAAGGGGCACTCTGCCCTTGGTTCCCTACTTCTGATGGACGAAATCCTGCACCACCTAAGAAACCCTGGAAGGATAATTCTCCGTAAATAATTACCAGCAAACAATGCTTTCCCATGGTTTCTTCTATTGGTGCAAAACGGATTTCGTCCATCCACAGTCTCAACAAATCATGGCCCGAGAAGTCGCGCGCCTTCGTAGGCATCCATTTGGCTGCTTCCTGGCGCCCTGATGGCCACCTCTTCGCTTTCTACACCGCCGATTCCACCGGCGGGCTTGGGGCGGAGGACCCGAGTGTTTTGTTCGGATTCGGGGGAGCCCTTTTGGAAGCATCTCTAGATATTGTGTCAGAGAAGAAATTCTTTTTTGACATTGGACGTCTCTCCCTGGACCCTCAAACTAGCCTCGCAAAAGTGGTTGCTCAATGTTTTTTCGGATTGAGTTCCCGTGTTCAAGGGTGTGAGGGATAGACCCCGCCATATGAAGGGACCATTTGAAAGCTGAGCTTTAGGTGGTTCAGTAGGGCCGTGTCTCATGCGCACCGCCAAAAGGGGGCAGTTGTCCTATGCCCTCACCACACCCAAAAAGGATGCCCGGATATGAAGACACAATACGCGTTCACCAGCTGATTCACATGGAATCCAGCCAGGGACTCCCCGTAATCCCTATTCCAAAGTTGTTTGTCAACCTGTAGGGGAGTAACGTCATGCTGCATTTTGTTTGGGGAGGGTAACCCCCCCACTCCAAATATCTTCTTTTTGTAGTTGGTATACAAAGATTAGTTTATGTGGTACCGAACCCTCTGGAACCCTCCAGAAGCCTTGCCGAAAGCTGCTCCGAACTCCCCCAAAGCTTACTTGGGCAGAGACCCTGTAGCTTTCAGCTGGTGGGAAAAGCCTGTGTTTTTTGTCCACGATGAGTGCCTCCTTTCTTTGTCAGAAGTTAACATGATTCCCAAAAAAGAATGAATTCGGAGAAGGGGAGACATCTTGTGAAGCCGGAGATATGTCGTTGCGGGGCAGTGGTCTTCAAGCGTGTCCTTTTCAGGTTCCGTGTTTGTTTACACCTCCCTGTTACCCCAAAAGCCATGCTCCGGAGGTACTTGGACCCCTTGAGATACCCTCGGGCCAAAGTCATGGAACATGTTTCTCTTGGGAGTGAACGAGCTTCGGTGCCAAGGTGAACCCGTGCCAGGTGAACCCTAAACTCCCCCTACACCCTAAAAAGAATATATACTTTCCCCCTTTTCCCCCCCTCATTCCCTGACAAGGCAAGCCCAAAAAAGACAACCCGGGTTCCCCACCCCAAAAAAACACAAAGGCACTCATCAACTCCAAGCGACCGCAAACAAAAACCAATCCGAGATACGCCGGCAAGGAGTCGGACGGCTTGGAGTCGCTGAAAGGCCTCGGCTGCCCCTCGCGGGCGCGGAGGCTGCGGTACACGGATGAAGCTCGGAATGGGCGTGGGTCAACACGAGGGTTGACGTTGACCCCCTGTGGATGGACGAACTCCATTTCGCACCTAAGGAACCCTGGAATGATGGTTTCCCCTGTAAATTCCAATAAACTATGGTTTCCCATGCTTTCAAAGTGGTGCAGGATTTTGTCCATCCACAGTATGAATCAACCGCAGACTTGTAAATTCGGGTGGTGGGGGCCCCTCCAAAAGTGATCTGATTCCCCACTAAACCCAGGGACACACCCTTATTCATAAGCTGGGGTTGATTGCATATGGGGTCAACATTATTTGCTACCTCCTTAGATGACAGGGCAATTACCAAGCGACTCTCTGGGAAAGTCTTCCTTTTAAAATCACTTCTTTCCCACTTCAGGCTTTATTCAAGTGACATTGGGGGCGAGAATGTCGGGGAGGTCACTTGAACTGACCTCGGAGAAGTGAACCACGCCATTGAACACCACGAACATTTCAGTCGATTCACAATGCCCCATGCATGTTTGACTTTTTTGATCTGCTTCAATAGACGTTTGGTCCGAGCCGTCCAGACATACCAATCCCTGTATCTTCCTAGCTATCACATAGATAAGGGTCCAACGATGCTAGTAGATCGCGGCACCCCCGCCAGTGCGTATTCGCCCAGGACGTGCTGCCGGATCCACAGTCCAGCTACCCCTGGGAGCGTGGAGACAGAGTGCTGGTCGGCTACTCTTGGCTGCCGCTCCTTGGACGAGAAACCAGAAGACACCTTGTAACCCCTAGACCACTAGACCACGAGTCCAAGCCTCAAGTTGGGAAAAGATCATTAAGCGTCCAAGCGTCAACATGTAGAGAGTACTTTTTTGCGGATATCACTTTAATGAACTTGGGCATTTGTCCCAGACTGAGGGGGGGGGGTTCCCGTACAAACTACAACAAGGTGCCCTTCCCATGGGTGGCGGTCTGGATTGTTGTTTCATTCAGCCTTTGATGGATGCGGCCAAGCACAGGACTGCATCACTGCGTTTTCATGGAGATGGTTCTCTTTCAATGCGAATTTCCTAGAAGGTTCCAAATGCCACATAGCAAGGAAGCCACGTTGTCTTTTTTCTCCAAAGACCCCATTCAAAACCTTGCGTTCCTTCCAAGGGTAGAGGTTGCCTCTTTTGACGCCCACCCAAAATGCGGGTATTTTGCTGGCTTTCCCTTCAAACAAAAGAGCAGCACCCTGAGACACAGCTGAAACACAAACCCATTTTATGGACAATTGTAAACACGTACCCATTCTATGGACATTGTGCTGCTTCGTTTTGCAATGTCTGGCCTTCGGCCTCTGCAAACAGTCGATCTGGACACGCACACGATTTATCCCCAGCCAAGTCATACCCGTTTTTCGAAGAGGGTTCCCTTTGAAATCAACTAACAACAAAAAAACTCGGTGCCCTTTTGTCCCACGACCACTGGGGTCTTGAAGTCTTGGGGGTTTGCCTTGGCTCTAAACGTGAAGCGCTTTTGCAGCTGTTTGCCCGCTACCTCCTTCGAGGACATGCAAGTGCATGTATCTTTGCCGAGTGGAAAACGCTTCTCCATTGACTTGAAGGTTGAGGCACAGCGGCTGTTTCAGCGCCGCTTTCTATGGTTTGCCTTTGGAGGTCAGCCACTAGACCCGTCCGCTACTTTGAGAGAAGTCGGCCTGCAAGATGGGGCATGATTCATGCCATCGTGCAGCCCGTCAAGCTGGCGTCCACTCACAGCGCATTTGCCCTGCATGCAGCAGGAGGCGCAGCGTTGACATGGGGCGATCCGGACTATGGCGGTGACAGCAGCCAAGTGCAAAAGCAGTTGGCGCGGGTCCAGCAAATCCAAGCAACTGAGCGTGCGTTTGCTTCCATCCTTGATGACGGCTGTGTGGTGACTTGGGGCGATGTCGGGTTTGGCGCTGACAGCACCCAGGTGCAAGAGCATCTGATCAACGTTGCGCAGATCCAAGCAAATAAATAAGGTTGCTTTTGCTGCCATCCGGCAAGATGGTTCAGTGGTGAATTGGGGCGCAGACTGTGATGGTGTTAGTGGAGTGCGATAAAAGTTGGTGCGGGTCAAGCACATCCAGGCAACGAACAAAGCTTTCGCGGCCATTCTGGACGACGGTTCTGTCTTGGGGTAGTAAGTGGTATGGTGGTGACAGCAGCCAGGTGCAAGAGCAGCTGGTGCGGGTTCGGCAGATCCAAGCAGCTGGGAGCTCATTTGCGGCCCTGCGAGAAGACGGCTCTGTCGTAACTTGGGGCTTTGCTAACAATGGCGGTGACAGCAGCCATGTTCAAGAGCAGTTGGTGCGGGTGCAGCAGATCCAAGCAACCTTGGCCGCTTTTGCTGCCATTTTGGATGACGGCTCTGTTGTCACCTGGGGGTGTCCGGAATCGGGCGGTGACAGTAGCCAAGTGCGAGAGCAGCTGGTGCAGGTCCAGCAGATCCAAGCAACTCAAACTGCTTTTGCAGCAGTTCGAAAGGACGGCTCTGTGGTGACATGGGGCGATTTCAGCAGTGGTGGTGTCAGCAGCGAGGTGCGAGAGCAGTTGGTGGGCGTTCAGCAGGTCTGCGCAGCCATTTATGCTTTCGCTGCAATGCTGGACGATGGCCGTGTGGTGACTTGAGAGCAGTTAATCAATGTTCAGCAGGTCCAAGCGACTGGAAGCTCTTTTGCAGCCATCCGGGAAGACGGGTTTGTGGTGACTTGGGGCGATCCAAACTTTTGGCGGTGATTGCAGTTCGATTCAGGCAGATCTTGATTGGAGACCTTTGTCTTGAAGGCTTGTTTGGGCCCAGATCAAAACCCGGCAGATGAAGGTTAGGGGAACAGTTCAAATACATGATTGCCCTGTTGGTTTTGTACACGGTTTTGGGCAGCCTTCTTTGGGATCCCGGGCTTTGACTCTGTCTCACTGTTTCACTGCGCTGTGATCGCTGCCTTCTGGGAAATGTGTGGCGGCAGAGGGTTTGAGTACCCTTGCAGGATGGCTTTGTTTATTTTTTTGGGAGTAAAAAGGGGTGTTGTGGCACCTCCTTAGGTACCCAGGAACCCTCTGAGGGTGTTCCTTCACAGACTGAGGAGTGGGCAACTTGTTACGCTTCATGGGGCATTGTTCTCTTTTTGAGTGCAGCTAGGCTGAGACACAGATGTGGCCGATACAGTCCAAGCTCCCGGCAGAATAATGCGCCAGAAAATCGGCATCTGACAAGTAAAGCCGAACTGCGAAGGGTTTGGCTCTGAACCGAAGCGCTTTTGAGGTAGCCCTTTGCCCGCTTTCCACTTTGCCAGCTGCGCTTGCGACCATGCGGGTGCATGTGTACTTGCCGAGTGGAAAGGGTTTTTCCACTGCACTGCTGCCGGAGTCGAGCATCCGCGAATTGAAAGCGGAGGCACAACGACAGTTCCATCGCCGCTTTTTGAGGCTTGCTTTTCGAGGGAAGCCGCTAGATCCATCCTGTACTCTGTGTGAAGTTGGTGTGCAAGATGGGGACATGATTCATGCCATCGTGCAGCCCGTCAAGCTGGCGTCCACTCACAGCGCATTTGCCCTGCATGCAGCAGGAGGCGCAGCGTTGACATGGGGCAATCCGAACTATGGCGGTGACAGCAGCCAAGTGCAAAAGCAGTTGGCGCGGGTCCAGCAAATCCAAGCAACCGGAGATGCTTTTGCTGCTATTCTTGACGACGGATCTGTGGTGACTTGGGGTGATCCTGCTTATGGCGGTGACAGCAACCATGTGCAAAAGCAATTGGTAAGTGTCCAGCAGATCCAAGCAACTGCGGATGCTTTTGCTGCTCTACTGGACGGCGGCTCTGTAGTGACTTGGGGTAATCCAAGCTATGGCGGTGACAGCAGCCAGGTGCAAGAGCGATTAGTGCGTGTCCAGCAGATCCAAGCAACTGCAAGTGCCTTTGCTGCCATCCTGGACGACGGCTCCGTGGTGACTTGGGGTAATTCAAAGTGTGGCGGTAACAGCAGCCAGGTGCAAGAGCGGTTGGTGGGGGTCCGTCAGATCCAAGCAACTCGGTTTGCCTTTGTGGCCATCCTGAATAACGGCTCTGCGGTGACGTGGGGTTATCCTTCAGTTGGCAGCGAGGAGCAGGAGCAACTGATGCGAGTCCAGAAGGTCCAAGCGACCGGAACTGCTTTTGCTGCCATCCGAGATGACGGCTCTGTGGTGACTTGGGGAGATTCTCGCTTTGGCGGTGAAAGTAGCCAGGTGCAAGAGCAGCTGGTGCGCGTCCAGCACATCCAAGCAACCGAGGGCGCTTTTGCTGCCATCCGGGACGACGGCTCCGTGGTGACTTGGGGCAATCTGAATCTCGGCAGTGACACTAGCCAAGTGCAAGAGCAGTTGGTGCAGGTGCACCAGATCCAAGCAACTGACAGCGCGTTTGCTGCCATCCTGGCCGACGGCTCTGTGCTGACTTGGGGCAATTGTGACTATGGCGGTGACAGCAGCCAGGTGCAAGAGCAATTGATTGATGTCCAACAGATCCAGGCAAGTGACGGCGCTTTTGCTGCAATACTCCACGACGGTGCTGTGGTGACTTGGGGTCATCGTCACAAAGGCGGTGATAGTAGCCATGTGCAAGAGCAGTTGATCAATGTCCAGCAGATCCAAGCAACTGCAAGTGCTTTTGCTGCTATCCTGGAGGATGGGTCTGTAGTGTCTTGGGGCCTAGATAGCGCGGGCGGCACTGATTTCGAAGCAAGCCAGTTTCAGATTGTATAGAACTTTCACTAACGGTCCTAGTGCCCTTTCAGGATTGAGGATGTGGTTTGGGGTGTTAAAAGGGGACCTCTTTCAAAGGTACTTGGACCCTTAGGTTTGTCTTGACCGAATGACCGGTCCAGCGTTCTTCCGCTGAAGTTTTTGGACGGTTTGCAGTGTCAGACGTTTGGCCACCTTTGAGGTTGGAGCAACAGCCGTGAGCCTTATGTTTGCCCAAGCTGTCAAAAGACCAGGACTCACGTGCCAAAAGTGATCTTTGGACAATTTTAACATTTGCAAGCTGTCGAAGAACAGAATTCACCTGACAAGGTCGTACCATTTTGCCAAGCTAGCTTGTGTACAGGCGCCAGGCACAATGCAGCGCTCAAAGTGGCGAGTGGCAAAAACATGGATGCGTTGCTTTGGGACGGATTGCCCCAACTGATGGGTTCCAAATTTGATTCCATATCCCATGTGTCCAACATGGGGTGGCTGTAGCTGGGTCCCTGAACATGCTCCAGAGTGCCAGATGGTCCCTTGACATGCTTTGAACACGGGTTTCATTCATGTCGGGACTTGACCAGAGTCAAAATGGCTGTGGCTCAAAAAGCTGGTACCAAAATGGCCACCTTGGTAAATGGAACCGAAGTCTAAAACCTGCGTAACCCTAGCTCTTGAATTTTGAGCCACACCCAAATGGCCTTTCACTTGAGGCTCATCTCCCAGGTTGAATCGGGCCAGTTTCTGGGCAGCCTTTGTCAAACCAATTGCCGCAGCCTGGGAAGGGGAGTCACCACATGAGACCACTGCCGAAATTGGCCCAGTTTCACATATCCCGAAACGGGGTTGCCCAACCTTTATTAAGCTCCATGTGTCGGGGCTCTATCTCTGCAAAACTGGGAAGCACTGGGCAACTGGCTAGAAAATGGGATGGCCTTCCTTTGATTTTTCACCTGGGGACGCCCTCAACCTTTAAGACGCAAACTGGGGCCCTGAAATCCTCTGAACTCACCAAATCTTCAGAACAGATCAAATAACCAGACCCGGAGGTTTCAGTTAGTCTGCGTTTGGTTTTCCCACTAAAAAACCCGCATAGTCAATTCCAAACAACAGATCGCTCCTCCCGAAACCCTCCCAAAACAAATAAACCACCAGTTGGATGGCTTTTGTAAGGGTCATTCCATTTCTTTTTTTTGAGAACCAGCAAGAGAAACCGCTGCCTCCACCTGGGGTTTCCGCTGGCTGGACCCGCCGGACCGAGGTTTCCGGACCTCGGGGACCCCGATGACGCCGACGCCGGTGGTCTGGACGGCGTCACCTGGATGGGCGCCTTCGTGGCTCACGTGCACTCCGACTGCTTCGAGCCTTTGAGGAAATGGAGAGGGTCAACAAGAAAGCCTTTGCTTTGGTGCATCTTGTCAAGGGATATTAGGAATGGGTTTTCCATTAAACCACTAAAAGTTAAACTTTTAGCAGGGGAGCAGAAAGCAACCGAGATTGAATGGACCCTCAAACTGTTTAAGAAACCTCCTTACACTACACCAAAAGATAATTCATAAACTCAAAGGGCACCATTTTGAATGGTTTCCCTTTGGCTGCCCTTGAGAACAACACAAAAATAACAGGGAGCCACCAATCCACAAGTGGTTGGACAATCTCCACCAAGTTCTCATGTCCACCATTTCGGGGCCCTGGGTAAAACACGTCATGTCGAAATGGGATTGTGAGTTCATGGCGGGAGGCTTCGGTATGAAGCATGCGCAACATGCGCCCAGGTGAGGTGGCAGCTGTTAGTCATGTAAGGCTCCTAGGAAACGTCCCAGAGAACTGTCCCATTTTCCAGTGCTACCAGTTATTGTGGGAAGAAACGGAATGCCATCATGTAAAACCTAGAGGTGATCGAGTCGAAGGGTTAGAGGTCATTGGAGCACTGGGTCTGGAAATTCCTGTTTTGCCTGTGGCGACACTTTGTGATGGCTTCAAGGTGACCGGGGGCGTTCAAGGGCGCCCATGGCCTGCCTTTAGACGACCATCTCCAAATGAATTGGGCGGTGACATGTTGGCTTGTCGCTCTTGGGCTCTCCAACTGTTCTTTTCCCAAGGTGATTGTCTGATAAATATCGGACCCAGGGACGCCCCAATAGGCTGGATTCATTTGGTGTTCCTTTTCTCCCTGTTGAACGTAAGCCGGGACACACATTAAAGATTGAGATTTTGGCATTGGGGGGGGGGTTCAACTGGAAACTACCCCGAAAACCTAACCATTTGGGCGGATGCCCATTTTGTAACGGTAGTTTGAGGGACCAGCAATTTCCTCTAAGAAGTATCAGTGCTTTGGGCATGTGCATCTCCGCACCCAGGTGAACGTTTGCTATGAGGACCTGGCGTTCTGGATTTGTTTTCGGCCGGGCACGCAACAAGCAAAGTCTTGTGATCCAGAAAAATGTCTGGAAAAAGAGAAAACCTATATACAACTAGCCTAACAACCTAAGTCTTGTCATCAAGTAAAGGCCTGGAACAGGGAGCCCACACGCCTAGAGCGACCCCCGAAACAAAGGAGTCCTGTGCAGAGTCTTGTGATCAAGTCAGTGCCCCAAGAAACCAGGGGTCCAGGATCAGGAGCCCACAAGCAGAGTCTTGTGATCAAGTCAGTGCCCCAGAACAGCTCGCCTAAAGACCCCAAGAAAGCAGAGTCAGGGCAGCCATCTGCAACCCTTTGATTTGCTGCAATTTGCCATGATTTTGTGGTTCGGTATAGGTGTTCTTTGCAATCTTTGTCTAAGAGTTCCCGCTAAAACCGTGTTGCTTTGAAGAATTCTGGGTCATTCCCCAAGATTGTAATCCCAGGGTGTAATACAAAAGCCCTCAGACTTTGCAATCCGCCTCGCATTCCGTGGCAAACAAAGCCCAACCCTTTCTCGCAGGACGACGGAACCATCGAAGAGCGGGTGCATCCTGACCGGCTCCGGCTGCCCAAGGGCCAGCGCCAGAACGTGGGCGAAAAAAGGAAGACGGCGACTTATAGCGGGGCTTTCCAAGCTGTTTGCGTTGTTGGTTGTTTGTGTTGTGCGTGTGTGTTTGCTTGTTTGCGTGCTTGTTTGGTTGTTTGTGTGCTTGCTTGTGTTTTGTGATGGCAAATTGGTTTGGTTTCTTGTACATGCTTGCTTGCTTGTTTGTACATGCTTGCTTGCTTGCTTGCTTGCTTGCTTGCTTGCTTGCTTGCTTGCTTGCTTGCTTGCTTGCTTGCTTGCTTGCTTGCTTGCTTGATTGCTTGCTTCTGCTTGCTTGCTTCTGCTTGCTTGCTCGCTCGCTCGCTGGCTTGCTTGCCTGGCTGGCTGGCTGCCTGGTTGGTTGGCTGGTTATTGTTTGTTTTGTTTTGTTTGTTTGCTTGCTTGTTGTTGTTGCTTGTTTGTGTTTTGTGTCGGTTCTTTGTTTGTTTGTGTTTTGTTTTGCTGTGGTTTGGTTTGGTTTGGTTTGGTTTGGCTTGGCTTGGCTTGGCTTGGCTTGGCTTGTTGTTTGTTTGTTTGTTTGATTGTTTATTTGTTTCTTTGTTTGTTTGTTTGTTTGTTTGTTTGTTTGTTTGTGTGTCTGTTTGCTTGCTTGCTCGCTCGCTCGCTCGCTCGCTCGCTTGTTTGTTTGTTTGTTTGTTTGTTTGTGCGTTCGTTCGTTCGTTTGTTTGTTTGTGTGTTTGTGTGTTTATACATATGCTTGTTGTTTGTCAGGTTGTTGTTTGTTAGTTAGGTTTTTGCGGTTGTTCGTTTGTTTGTGTGTTTGTTGCGCGTGTGGTTGTTTGATGTATGCTTTGAGTGGTTGTTCTTTGGGGGCTGGACTGATGTCGAAAAGAGGCATATGGTAGGTCTGTTTTTGAGAGACCCTGTTCGATAGTGTTTGCAAAAGGAAACGACCACAGGGGATGGAGATCAGTCGTTGTTTCCCCAGTCCCCCTGTCCAGCATTCAACATGATTGTTTTATCATCACAAGGCAATCAGATTCACCATTCCAATCTAGGCCCTTCGTAAACAACCAGTCAGCAAATAGACCCCCAATTGTGGCCCGGAAATGTCCTGGGAATTCTCCAAGCATACTGGTTCGTTGGGTATGCAAACCAATTGCTACTCACTAGACTGAGGGCGTGTAGACCAGGCGGCCACCCAAATGCTGGTTTTTCTTTGGTGCCCACCAAAACCGCCCCAAAAGTACACTCAACAAACACAGACACAGACACACAACCTGAGGCTCCAAGTATCCTTTGAGGATTCCTTGATGGTTTTTGAGGTAAAGGTGCGAAAGGCAGAAAGGGATTTAGCAGAAAGTGACGTAGCGCATTGCCCTTTAGATCCTTCCTGAGTGCCTTTTTCCCCTTATTCCATGTCCACAGTTTCTGGTTATGATGCTTCAGCCCACCCCGAAGCCAGGTCAACGGCGAGTCCAGCGTGGAGATGCTCAGAAGGCCGAAAACTGGCCGCAAAAACTGCTGGTCTTAACATGGACCCCCAAAATAGGTGATGTCCCTTTGAAGCGAAAACACAGGGACACGGGTCTCTCACCAATCCCTCGGAGGCTGCTTAGATACCCAGATTTAAGGGTCTGAGATCACAAGACGGAACTCGGAGATTGAGAGATCCTCTAGGTGTTGCTGATGTTTCTTTGCGGGGTCTGCATGTCAGGAGTTGCGTAGACTCCTTGGTGCCCGTTCTAAGATCAGATTCCCTCCCGCTTCGCCACCGCTGGCCGGTGGATTCTCAGGCACGGGAAGAATACTGTGGATGGCTGCGAAATCCTTCCAAGAAACCTTGGAGTGATGATTCCCCTGTAAATACCATATAAACATAGTTTACCTTGGTTTCCAAGTGGTGCAGCATTTTGTCCGTCCACAGTACCTCATGCGATGTTTGAATGTTTGAGACACCCTGAAACTTTGGCGGACTTGAGCATCCCCATGGAAAGGAAATCCTTGACAAAGGATCCTCCAAAGGATCCAAGATCCATGATACCCATGTAAGCGGTAAACTTGCCAACTTCTCAGGGACAAATGGTCGGGGCATGTCCCTGAAAGATTGTATTCACAAAGCTGAACACGCTGCAAGTTGCCACGCTTCCTGAACCGGGGGCAACTAGACTCGCGAGGCACGCATGCTGTACCTTGCATGCCAAACCCAAACTGCACAAAGACGGAAGCTGTTTCTAGCCTCTACCCCCAGCAAGACAATTCGCCTCCAAGATTCACACCAAAGCGAACTGTCCCCACTATCTCCAAAACGATTTGCCCACCCACCCCCACCTCCCCCAAACAAAAGATTAACTCCGATCAACTCCCTAAGCATTATCATCATCGGACCCTCCATTAAAGGGGGCCGGATCGCCATTGCAAGGTTCTGGACATCGGGGCCAGGATGATTTGAAACACCAAACTCCACACCCAAAGATTCCCGGCAGAATTCCCAGCCAAGCTGACAGGAATCCTTCCGCCTTCAAGGGGAGGGCTGCCGCATGCCCAGAGAAAGGGTGCGGAAGGCAAGGAGCTGTGCCCTGGTTGTAGACTTGAGCTTGTTGTTGAGAGTCCTCTGACGTAGGTATATAATATGTGTGTGTGTGGTTTCTTAGACTTGTTGGAAGTCTTGAATTATTCAGTTCTTTTGTTTTTAATAACACAAAGTGCTTGCTGTTGGTATGCAGGTGTCCGACGCCGTTTTGGCATGAGCCGCACTCAAGACCTAGGTGATTGAAGTTTTGGGGACAGTCCCAGGCATAAAAGGGCGCGGCTGTCTTACTGCTGAGTAGGCCCCTTTGAAACCAGGCCTTGCTTATGGCCCCAGAAGGCAGCCACAAGATTGATATTGGGTACATGTTTCTAGGGGTTCATTCCTTGTCCATTCTTTTCAACCATCTTTTTTTTTTCAAAAACCGGATCCGTTTTCCCTGCGTTTCCGGAGGTTTCTAGAATGATTTCTTTGTCATAGTTCCCCGAAAGCCCGGATTTAGGCCAGCTCCTCGACTCAAGAGCGGTCCCGCGCGACTTTCGGTTATCAATATCGTGATTACGCAAATCGCGTCCAAAAGAGTCGACCGCGAGCCGCCAGAATTCCAAGCCAAAGACCTCTGAACACGGCCTTCGAGGACTCCATTGGCTCTGTATGGCTACCTCAACCCTCACGATGCCACCGAACCTTGCCAGCTCATGCCACTGTTTTTTCCAATGAATGCCAGTTTGCCAACTATCCCCAGGGAATCCAAAGACATGAGTAAACAGCGTTTCATTCGTCTTTAGCGAGTAAACATGGTCTTGGGAAATTTCACGCTCATTCACGCTGCTCACGTGTTCACCTCTTGTTCTGCCACTGCACAGTCAGACATCACCACCGCATTTTGCGCCAGATTGGTATTCATATTGTGTGCGCAATTTTATTGTTCGATAAGATAGTGCTAGGCGCACGTGTAGTCTAGTGTTGGAGGCGGGCGTTTATCAGGCACCACGCCAGGATCATCCATTGGCTGGCTGGACACACCACAATTTACACTTCAGGGCTTGCACGAGCAACGTGCTGAGAAGTAGACCGAGCTTGCCATGCACATTACACACAGGAAGAATCCAATGTAAAATGGACTCATGCTAATTTTGTGGAAACATCGCGGCCAAATTTTGCAGGCCCAAGGATCTAGTCCGAGCCACATAGCTGGGCAAACGGCTTTGTAGCCATGTAATTGTTGCAGACCGAACCAGCAGGCTGTGGCATTTGGATCTAGGGGGGGGGGGGGGGGAAATTCACGTTATTTTCACGGGTACACACCGTCTTTCACGGGTAAACTCCGTCGTTCACGCAAAATTCACGGTTGGCTCACGGTCCCCGATTTGTCAACGATATTTGTGAAGCATACAAATATAAACCGATACTGTCTGCGATTCCCATACAGCACAGCTAGCCTAAAAGCATCCAATTACCACCTCTAGACGGTAGCCCTGCCCATGGCACAACGCAAGACACGCTGTTGCGCAGTGCTGCTACGTGTTGTTGTGCGTGTGACTTCTTGTATGCTGATGCCATCGCGTGAATCACGCAGCGCAGCAGAGGAATACTTGCATGTGGCCAAGGTAATCTCGATCCATGGGGTCCATATCCATGCATGCTGCATAGCTAGCATGAAGGCTTCCCTTGTCACATGCATGGGAAATATGCCATATATGACTGCAATGTACATTGTTTGGCATGCAGGCATGCATGTTGCATCACCGGACCTTTGATGGTGCTTTCAATTCCGAGCCCAGCTGACTTCACCAGCCAACAAATACCCCATTCACGGGCCATTCACGGGCCATTCACGGGTAAACACCGTCTTTTGGGTTAAACACCGTCTTTTTGTAAAGACCTAGCTTGGAAGTACTGGGTATCCATGCCAGTCGGCCTCAGATTTGTTTCCATGGGGCCATGGGACCCCTGTGACACATTGCCATTTGCGTGTGTAGCGGATTGAACGTTTTTGGAGCTATTTCAATCAGACTCAACATGAAAGGCAATGTAGGATGGCCATTTCTTTATACTTAGAGTTCATTCCGGGTTCCTGACTTCACTCATGAATGACTGGAGTTAGTTGAGTCCCGCCGCTGGTCAGAAAAATAGTGGGAATTGGTATGAACTACTTCAGGGTACTGCAGCGACTCTTAAGAAGAGGATCTGGCCACGCCAGTTGCCCCCAAAGGAGAGTGGGATACAGTGGCTGCATGCAGTGGATATTTTTGGCAGCCTATGGGCAGCTTGTTTGGGACTGACCCAGACCCAGCAAGGGTGGTTCCAGTACCACCCAACTTGCAAGGCAGCTCAAAAGTGGGCGAGGCGAGGCACTGCTCTTTTGGGGGCGGCTGTACAGGAAACCAAGGTTAGTCAAGTTGCTGGTTTTCCGCACGACAAAATCCGTAGAAAAGCCTTCGGGCAACCAACATCCATTTCCGGACTTCTTTACCTAGGAATGTCAGTTTCCGCCAAACATGGGCAAGAATGAAATTATGCAGATGTTGTTTTGGTGCAGATGTTGTTTTGGGGAAAGGTGAGGTCGTCTTCCGGCTAAGGCCGGCCCTCTCGAGCGGAAGCAGCGGCAGGCGGCCATTTGTTTTGGTGGGGCCCACCTTCTTCGGTGGCCTTTCTCTTTGGGGTGGGGGAGGGTTTCCCTCAAAATCCACCAGCCAAACATCAGGGTACCCGTTTTTTTCACATTGCACACCCAATGGGCTTTTGAGTTGCACCTCTGCCTGATGCCAATCGACCCTTTCACATGTTGGTTTCAACCGGTCCGGTCCGTTCAGCATGGCCCCCCATCCATGTGCACCTACCGCAGGATGGCTGGTCGATTCTTGGGGTTTGGTACCTCGGAAGGTACCGACTGGGGGGGTTTTGAGAACATCGACTCTTGGCGTTCGAAGACAAACGGAAGCCACTGGTTGTTGTTTTCTTGCCCGAACCCCTAGTGCTTGTCTTGACAGTATGGCGGTCTGGTTGCAAAATTGGATATTTGTGATTTGAGGGGTATTTATTTTAGGATGTGCTTTTTTTTGTTTGTTTTTTTTCTTCTTTTTTTCCTATTTTTTTTCCGCTTGGCTTCTTCGGCTTCTTGGCTTTCAGCTTTTTCAGCTTCTTGGCTTCTCGGTTTCTTGGTTGTTGGCTTATTGGCTTCTCGGCTTCTGGGCTTCTTGGCTTCTTGGCTTCTTGGCTTCTTGGCTTCTTGGCTTCTTGGCTTCTTGCCTTTTCGGCTTCTTGGCTTCTCGGCTCTGGTTTATGCGGCTGTTGTGCTTTGGCGGCTTTGCCTTTTGCATCCTTCAGGCTTTTTGGCTTTTCAGGCTTTTTGGCTATTGGTTTTTGGATTTGGCTTCCCGCATCGTCAGCATCACCGCCACCCTATTTGAATCATCACTTCTTCGGACATCATGTGGGGGCCCCCCCCCCACTCCGCCACTGTTTAGATTGTTTGCACATAGTTGCAACTGCCATTTGAATCAACTCTTCAAACATCATGGGGGTTGCCGCCTCCCCCCCGTTAAGAGATTGAATTGCACCCTGCGAGAAAATGCTGCAAAATACGACATTTTAGGTAATCTGTGTAATCCATGTATGTCTGTATGTATGCATTTTCTTAATTCTATCACGCCTTTTCTGGATCATTGCACCCTACTTGACCATCACTTCTTCCGATTATCATGGCAGGTCGCCTCCCCAACCCCCGCTACTGTTTAGTGTGTTGTTTTCTTACAGGGATTGAAATGCCCTCCTACTTGAATCATCATTTCTTTGACCCCGTCACACGATTTGTTGGTGATGCGAGGGATGTTGGTCGGACATGCGGGGGATGTTGAAAGCGATGCTGGGGATGTTGACGGCTAGTCTGCCTTTTAAATTCTATCACCCCCTTTCTTGAATCATTGCACCCCTACTTGAATCATCACTTCTTCCGACATCATGGGGGGGCTGCCGCCCCCCTCAACCCCCCCGCTACGTTTTAGATTTTCTACAGAGATTTAATTAATTGCACCCCCAGTTGAATCATCCCCCTAGTTGAAACATCTATTATTCGAACATCAGGGGGGGGGGCTGCCCCCCCCCCCAACCCCCCCGCTGCTTTTGAGACTTTTTGCAAAGATTCAATGGCACCCCTATTCGAATCATCACTTCTGCGGCCATCAGGGGGGCGGCATAGTTTTTTTTAGAATAGTTTTTTAATTTATTTATGTTTTGCTGGGATTGAAATGCCCTCCTGTTTGACAACCCGCCAGCTACTTTTTGGATTCCACGATTTGTTGGTGATGCTAGGGATGTTGGTCGGACATGCGGGGGATGTTGAAAAAAAAACGAAGAAAATCCCAAAATAAATCCGCACCCATTGGATTTGGACAAAATTGGATTTGATTTCCCTTTGAAACTCACCACCTGACCCTCTCACTTCCCTCAACAAGTTGTTATTGCCCCAAAATAATGGTGCGATTTCACCCCAAGGGTAGTTCGTTCGGCACCAGTTGGATGCTTTATGTCGAAATCATTCTATTTCTCATTCCCCTATCGCACCAACTTAGATAGCCAAGTTGCTGTTTTTTTCAGTCACTGCTGGTTTTTGGGGTAAAGTTCATGGAAAAAAGCGATCGCAACTGCCTATCGCACCAAGATTTGTCTCAAGCAAACTCCACCTGGGCAAGGTGGTGCGCCTCTACGGCCAACTGGATGTGTCAGCGTCCGCTGGGCCGCCGAGCCACCGGTTACGAGGGTCCTTTTTGGGATCTCCGTAGCAACCGGCCTGAAAGCCGAAAGCGATCCGATTATCACGGCCGTTTAAGAGAAGTAGATTGGCTGTACAAGAATTGTGTGTTTGTACTTGTGCTTGTGCTTTCAAAGGGTATCTCCAGTTTGAGGGTTCAGGCCCCCGCGTTCCGGTAGGTTCCTAGTAGGCAGCCAAAAGGCACAGCTCCATTTCTATGGGGTCATTTTTGCAATTGGATGTCTCAAGTCGCTTGTGTTGAAAAGTCATGACTCGTGATCTTGGGAGAATCACGTTTATAAATTCGCTTTCATGTTGCCTGGCGGACGTTTTTCTGAGCCGAACAATTGTCATCCGAGTCCGTAAAAGGAACTCGTGGCAACAAAGCCATCCAATTGCCCTCAAACATATCCCAAGTCCCGTACAGACATATATCCAAACGTTTCGTTTGCTTCTGGCCTCCCAACTGTTAGTACCTTCAAAACAGACACGTCCACATAGTCCGTACAAAGATTACAGAAGCGCCTCAACACGGCTTGCACAAATTGCAAAGGGCTTTCCCCTTTCCGAGTTGAGGCAAACCCCTACATAAGCAATATATATACCTTTTGCAGATTCCCACGTATTGGACCCCTATCCGCTTCTGATGGTGATTGTGGGTCACTCATTCCCCATCAAACCAGTTAGTGAGGCACCTTATGCCCAGTATAGACGTGTACGAGTTTTAGCATATGCCCGGACCCCCAAACAATACTCTCCAAAACTGGAAATCAACCCATCATTTTGGCGCAATATACCAATTTAAATGGGTAGTGTACAGGTCCATTTCGGCATTTTGTTTATTTTTAGGTGGGTCTCAGGCTGGCAAGGTGGATCTGGCCAATCAGCATCACCTCCGAATCTTGCAGGCGCTCGGTTTCGCAGTTCAATCAGAGGGTCCCTTACCTGTGGTGGGCGTGGGGGAAAACGAGATCCTTTGGTACCTCCGAAGCCACTTGCACCCTTTGCGCCCAGCTTCCTGAAAAAACATATGCTCAAGTTGGATGGCTTGGAGGTGTTCTGGGGTTTCCCGTATACCCTCTACTGTACAAGCCAAAGGGGCTTCCTTGCCCCCAAACCACCTTTTCCAAACCACCAATTAAGGGCAAGGTGACTCAATGGATCGACCGGGGTGGGGGGGGTCGATCAAAAAGTATTCAATTGTGATTGATTGAATGCCCAGTGGTGTTCCCGATTCCAGTGGGTCAGACCTGTTTCTGCAATCATGTCTGCGGCCATGGAAAGGAGAGCAACGGGTCTCATTGTGATCTTAAATCCAAAAACGGGGCAAGTCCCCCCCCTTTTCACCCATGGTCATGGCACCCCCCCGACCCCCTGTAAAGTGGTTGTGGGTGAAGTGAGGTTGGTGAAGGTGTGGTTAAGGGTTGCTATCTGCACGAAAGAATTGCTTTGTGTGTTCTTCTATACCCCCCCTCCATGGTAGTCGTGCGGGGTGGAAATCCTCTCAGTTTTCGCAGGTCGTCCTGTGCTCTCCCTTGGTGGTTTTGTGCTCCAAGGGTCACAAAGCGATGAGTGTTCGTTCGGAAAATGTGTTCCCGCAAGGACAGACGGCCTATTGCGAGCTTCTCACACGGCTTGGTGGTTACTTTAATACTTACCGGCGCTCTTTGCCAATAGAAGTGTGCTTGGTGATAGCGTCCTTGGTTTAAAAACATGGATAACCTTTTGTGGAGCTCCACTTTTGGAGTGTGGATGACGGACATGCTCCAGTTTGATGTTATGAACGAAAGCTAGCTAAGGGATCAGTATCGGGTTTCGGTCTTACCTCTTACCTAGGGTGCGCCAGTGCATGTCATCTTCAAGCCCTTCCAGACAGCAACACTGGGATTATTGTGTGTTTTATTGCCCGTCCATAGCAAAGCGCTATTGGGTTGCCTGTTTTTCCTAGCAGCAAAATGTTGACACACACAGCTTCTCTACCAATCATTGCGATGCGGCTCATGTATTGCTTTCGCGTCGCTGTGGGGCCCCTTCGGCCTAATTCCATGGGCAGAGTTTCGCGCCGTTCGGCCCGCTCAGCCACGGACCTAGAGCCTTAGAATCTGCAGGGGAGAGTCCCATTTTCTGCGGAGCGGATTGGGTGTTTGGTGCTCAATGATCGATTTTTTCAATCACCCGAGCTTGCAACACTTTCGTTCGCACAAAGAGGCCACGTGGAGCTTCATATGGCTATGAATTTCAACAGGGGGGGACATAAATCCTCACCTCACTAATGTCCACCAAAGGGTCCCGCATTAATATCCACAGTATTCCTTAAGGGTACATTGTGCTGGGTTGTTTCACGGGGAAGCCTTCAGGAGACCAAACAACCATCCGTGGGGTTTCAACAATACCTCGGGGTGAGGCCTGACTTGTGGCCGAGAGCGGAAACCCCGTGGTGTTGGTGTCCGTAGTGGTCATTGAAGAAGTGGTTTGGAACAACCCAGCTGGGTTGAGTTCAACCAGGATTCGCAACCTTTCGGGGGAAGTCGCGCGGATCTCGGCCAGATGGACCCCTACTTCACCACGGACGGTATCACGTCGCAGCTGCTGTGGTGTCGAGCTCAGTCGCGCGTTGGACAAGATTGGTAGTCCGCCAGCCCCTGGCAATAAAAGAATTGAGTCAGGTTGAAATTGGACCCATCCTAGGTCCCCCAGTAGTGCCCTTTTGCAGTACCTGTTTTTTTGGGGGGAGGGTTCCCCTACTAAAATAGACGAGTACCGTTATTCTAACCTCTCTGCTGGAGGCCTAGCATCAAGAATCAAAGGTCGCTTTCAAAGACACCTGATTTGAAGGGGAAGTGTCGTTTGATGATTTGGGTTGCAACCCCCGTCTCCCGACCCGAATTGGGGCTTAACGTGCTTAAGCAAAGGGCGCACTCTGATCGAATCGAAAGATAGTCTAAAGGGAATAGCTTTGTTCAAAGACTGTCTATCGGTGCATGGGGAGGGGGGCTCTTTGGCTACGACGTGTATGATTGAAACACCCTGAAACATGGTCCCTAACTCAAATTCACAAAGTACAACATGTGTGTTATTTGTCTTATGAGTAGTATGACTAGTACTATTACTATTGTCTAAAAAAAAACAACTTGTGACTTCTCGCGTGTTTATATATATATATATATATTAATATATATATATATATGTACGCGTCAGACACATACTGACCTCGCAAATGCTTTTGGCCCTTGACTTGAGGTTAATGATTCATGTCAGTTCACCCAGATATGTCAGTGTATTGGAATGTTGGTGGCTGCAGCCCAGAATAGTCGGCCACTAACAACCTGGTTGATTAGCAGCCTAAGGTAGCAGCAAATAGCCTTTGCGCTTGGGTTCGCTGAGTTATGCTTCCATATTCAAGCGTTTTTCCTGGGACCAAGGCAAGTGCAAGTCCCACACCTGCCAACATGATGCTTGGAGTCATTCCTGAATGGGCAAGTATTCCTTGAGTAGCTTTGCTTTCCCCATGCATTCCGGAAAATAGCCAAGAAAGTTGAAGGCACGTTGGGAATCATGGGATTACCTCTTTCCAATCCCACACTTCGGCCAAACGGTATGGTAACACATAGCGGGGGGTTGTGCCCCACCAAGAGGCTAGACTTCGCAGTTTTTTGGGAACCACCTGCCTGTGGATCCACCAGATTGATCGACATTGTCTATGTCAGGCGTTCCGTGCTGTCGAGGGCTTTGCGCATTTGATAGCTTCTGCTTTCGGGTATGCTCCGGGTAAAGTGAAGTCTGCTGCAAAACGCCCAGACTGGGGACGCCCGAAGCATGCCCTACACCGGGGCAGAGTGAAGACAGGCTGTCAAAATGTCTACATATGCGTTCACCGGGATTCCATTGTCCAGGCCTCAAAGCAGAGAGCAAGCTGCCAGCATGGCATACGCGGAGGTACAAACTGCGAGGAAAGCAGCTGACATGTTCACATCTGTGGTCGGGCTATGGTGGTTTCCGTGTTTGTGTCTCAAGTTGGGCGAAGGCTTTGCTTTCGAGGGATCCAGCCAAAGCATATGAAAGTCGCGCCCAGGCTTGCAGCGGTCAACTGGGAGCTGCATAGTTAGCAAGCATGTTGTTTTGATTTCCACAAAGCTACAACAGCAACAAAAAGGAGATGTTTGTTTTCAGACCTCTGGTTGGAAAATTGACACCTGGTGAGCATCAAAACCGTCTTCAAAACGGCCGGATGTGGAGTTGGAGGACCTGGCTGCTGTGAACTCAAGAAAACTTGGGAAATCTGTTGACGCGTTGCTGGAAAGCTGGGCTTTTTGGCTTCTCGGCTTCTTAGCTTTTCGGCTTCTTGTTGGTTTATGCGGCTTTTGGTGGCTTTTTGGCTTTGGCTTTTCGCATCCTCTGCATTCCAGTTCCTCTTCGGCAGGTCGCGTTTTGTGGTTTATGCAGCTTTTGGCGGCTTGGCTGTTCGCATCCTCTGCATTCCAGTTCCTCTTCGGCAGGTCGCGTTTTGGCTTTTGCGGCTTTTCGCTGGTTTATGCAGCTTTTGGCGGCTTTGGCTTTTCGCATCCTCTGCTTTCCCAGTTACTCTCCGGGCGTTTTTGCGTTTGCACCCTTTCATTGGTTTTTTGGATTTGGCTTCCCGCATCATCAGCATCATCAGTTTTCTCCCTATTTGAATCATCACTTCTTCGAACATCATGGGGGGGCTCCCCGCCACCCA